AGGCAGCTTGAATGACGACGACCCAAGCGCGGGCGCGCTCTAGGCAAGATCGCCTGCCACTGCTGCAGGCACGAAGATCTCTGTAGCAGAAGCAAGCTTTTCGTGCGAACGAGTAGCCGCGCAGGGCAAATTACGGCACGTGCAGATTTGCACAGAAAACACGGTACTACATGAAGAAATAAGTACGCGCACTAGAAGCGGTCGTGTCTGTGTAGCAAAGTTAAATACCCCCGATATGCGTGTGTATAAGAAACAAGACTGGACAAGTGCCAAACGCTCTCGCAAGAAATGACAGACGCGGTCTATAAAGTAGCTCGAATTGACTGTAAGAGAATGATGACGAATAGGTCACAAATGTAAGGCTCCACAAAGGCACAAATAGTAAGAGTAAACGGTAGCGGCACGATGTCCGAGCAACAGTATGTGCACCTGAAAACTTCTGGGAAAAGCAGTCAAACAGATAACTAAATCAAGTAGAAGTGAACAATGTTACGCCTCTAACCACTTCATACGAGCACCATACTTCATTTTATGAATGAGAAGCGTGACATCTTTGTTCGGCTATCAACGTGTCCTGTTTTCTCATAGAATGCATTGCTCACTCATCTTATCCGTTAAACTGGGCAATTAATATTTTCACAGAGAATGGCACCGCAAAACACACGGGTACCTTCATATTTTGGCGTGTCATTCAAAACAATTTCCTGGATATGTCTCGTGCCTGGTGATCATGAGTGGGTGGATAAATAAAGAAACTACTATTCTTGGGGAACCGGCGAAACTTCAGCACGAATAGCAACTGCTACGTCCGCAATCCTGACCATATAAATTGATGTAATTTGGGCGAGCTATAATGCGTCGTCGGTCCTTCTTCGCATTTCTGGAAAACTTAATTGAATAAACGGAGCCATCAGAGCTGATTAGCTCTGGTACAACTAAAAGGTTTCGGAAAGTGGTACGGATTCCAGGTGTATGTATAAGGCTATACAATCATAGGAAACATTTCCTTATTTAAATGAAAGTTTAAACCCCTATAGGATCCCATCTTCAGAGATAAAAGTGGCAACAGAACAAACACCAGTTATAAAGGCTGGGAGCC